TGTAGAATCAGTACAGTTAAACTACCGAAGAAATATTGTACACAACTCCTCCTATATACCCTACCTATAACTTCTAGATTACCAATTTAAATACCCTGTAGAATACTGCAACAGAGCTGTTGTGCGCGTTCTTTAGGCAACATGTGACTGCTGACGGTTGACTCTTGAGCGCCATGTTTGCTTGCAGCAAGGGGCCCCTTACTTGAGGTTCGTGCGACGCCATAGGCTTCACGAGAAAAGGTTCGCCGAAGAGCCTTTGTGACTTCAGCTCCAGGGAGCTTTTGCTGTTCGAGCCCAATCGTTCTGCATTTCTGGTTTCAGGATTCTGTTCTTCAGACAAGCCAGTGCAGTGAGCGCCCTCCGCTACTGCACTGGTAGCGGAGCAGGCTTTGGTCCAGAGACCCCTCCATCGAGTGCCACGCCTTGTGTCCTGAACCTCCTCCAGGAGCCTTGGAACTAGTGTCCTGAACCTCGTCCAGGAGCCTTGGAACTAGTGTCGGGTGTGGTGGCTTTACTTCTACGACTTCTTGGCTGGCAAGGCCCGCGGCTGGTGCGGTTTTCGCATAAGCTTCTGACTTCCCGGGTTTCCTGAGATTTCGTTAGCAATGCCTTTCAGAGATGGAGGAGGTGACGGGGGAGGGTCGACCATACCGGCCTGGGATGGTCACCCAAAGGGGTGGCGACGATATGCTCGAGAAGTTGCCTGGTTTGTGCAGGGAACCAAGCACAACCAGCGGCGCTGCCTGGCGACCCGTCTGATCGGTCGGCTGACTGGCAGCGCCAGGCTTTTGGCTATGTCTTGGCCCCAGGGCGAGTTCGACAATGACTTGGGGGTCTTGATCTATCTTCGTAAGCTGGCTCAGTCACCGCTCGTCAGGCGATCGCTTCCGAACGCGGCCGCGATCATGTCCCAGTACTTCCAGTTCAAGCGGCAGCCGGGCGAGAGCATCACCACCTTCCTCGTGCGGGAGACGCTTGGCTTTGAGGAGTTCAACGAGGCGTTGGTTCGCTTGAGGGAAGAGAGACAGGGCATGACCGTGGATAAGCAGCTGTTCGGCTTGGAGACGCTCCTGAAGAAGGAAGAGGAGAAGGAAGATTGGTGGTCCGAGTCTACCTCAAGGCCTTGGTGGAAGCGGGGCTGGTATGATGGAGACGAGGAGGACCCCTCGGAAGCAGCCGGAGCCGATTCCCAGGAGCGAGAGGCCCCTCTTGGGGGCTATGAGCAAGAAGAGGCAGCGGCGGCAACGACTTCACCGGCCAACCGTGGCCCACCCGAAGATCAAGGCGGTGAAGGTCAGACACCTCAGGAGGCGACTTCACCTGCCTCTCGCCGTTTGTCCAAAGGGCTGGAGCGGATTGCCAAGGGCAGTCAGACCGACGATGACACCTTTGACAGCTTCATCCTCGACGTGCTGCGCGGCTGGCGGCTCCTGCAAGCAGCGAGCCTTTCCCTGGAAGAGCGCAGGGACGTGCTTTCTTCTACGGCCAATCGGCTCGACTTTGAGTCCGTGTCGAACGCCTTGCAGGTGCTTTGGGACGAGCAGCTTTCGGCTACGAGGCACAATGGGCCGAGCAAGGCCACTGGGGCGAAGACGAATGGTACGATGATGAAGGAGACCAGTGGCAGTACTACGGCGAGGCAGAGGAACCATGGAACCATGAGTGGGCCCAAGGGCCACAGGAGCCCGACCCAGATGCATTCACCGCGGCCGAGCTTGATGATGGGCAAGTTCGCGAGGCTCTTCAAGCAGAACGGGCTGCCGAGGCGATGGCGGCAGAGGCGGCCATGACGTGGAAAAGGGCCCAGCAAGCAACGGCGGCCGTGAGAAAGGACCGTGGCTTTGGTGCATCAGCGGGTTCAGCCTTCCGGGCGGCTATGTCTACAGATCAGTGCCACAAGTGCGGCTCATATGGCCACTTCGCTCGAGATTGCAAAGGTGGCAAGGGACGGCCCAAGGGTGCGATGATGACGGACTACTATGAGTACGAGCCGGCCGGCTATGATGCGATCTACTTGGTGGGTGGCAAAGGCAAGAAGAAGGGAAAGACCAAAAGCCATTTCGGCATGAACAAAGGACCGATGAACAAGGGCAAAGGAGGCAAGCATCCCAGAACCTTCCCGGGCGTGAATGCATATGGCTTGGAGATGCTTGGCTCTGAGGGGGGCACCGGGCAAGATTATCATGTGTCCTCGGAGAAGGACGCTATTCCTCCGACTTCGGGCCTCCTGGACTGTGGTGCAACAGCCTCTGCAGGACCGGAGGCCAGTGTTCAAAGGCTCATTGCAGCAGTCATTGAGCAGGATTCCCAGGCGACGATCACCATCGATCAATCCCGTCGGCCATACTTTCGCTATGGGTCTGGGGCGTGGGGTGGCGCAGTATCATGTTACACTGTCTTCGGTTGTTAGTGGACAGCAGTTGCATTTCGAAGTGTATGCCCTTCCGAACCGGCCTGAGTTTGTGGAGTCCTGGTTTAGACCTCATATGCTGGTTCCCATCTTGGTAGGGATGAGCCACATTGGGAGCACTGGAGCTGGGATGATCATTGACTTTAATGACGGTTCCTACTTGAATGCTGCAGACCTAGCTAACAAGCGACAGCGACCTCCCGATGATCCTCAATACCTGACCTCCAACTCCAAAGGCCACTTCATGCTCGACATTGTCCACTACCTCACGGGAGGCCAGGTTTGCAAGCAAGGGAACTGTTTGTGGTGCTAAAGCAGCCTGTCTTTCCTTCGGGTGGAGGGTCCAGGGCTGCTGATCACAAGCCGTTGCCTGGGACAGACCAGGATTTGCCTCTGCAGTACATGTTTCCACTTGAGATAGAGGAGAATGTGTTGACTGTGGTGGGTTCTGAGAACATGAACACAGAGTTGCGGCGCACTTTCATGCGGCAGATGCTGACGCGACATGCTCCTGACGCTTTACCCGCGCCAGCTTTCTCAGACTCGAGGATGAGCGGGCAGCCTAGACCCTCGCCTCAAATCGTCAACATCAACCCCGCGATCAAGCATGGCGCCCAAGACCAAGAGCAGTGCACTACCGGCTCTCGACGTGTCACGGGCGGTGGAGGCAGACCCACGAGACTGCCGGGCCTTGCGGACGCAGTGGCCCTGCTACGGGCACCACCCCGAGGTGGCGATTGGCAACAACAAGTTCGCCCAGTGGAAGTCCTGCGCGGTCTGTTCATACAGACTTTCCTACGTTCCCAGGGAAGGCGCCCCAGGATCCGACTCCAAGACAGAGAACTTCCCAACGGTCCGGCGAGCTCTTTCAACGCTGCACGGGGACATTGGGGATGTGCAGCCGGATGCGGAGATGGTTCGTGTGGCCATCGAGATGGAGTACGCCAAGAACATGTACCACCAGCTGATTCAGAAGTTCGACAAGAAGCGTGCGGTGGCGACTGTGCCGCCCAAGGAGATGATCGAGGGCACGCCATCCCAAGCGGCCATGCCGAGCAAGGCCAAGGGCTACCCGAGCGAGATGAAGGGGACCACCCGGGAGACCATCGCCGAGCTCGTCGATGACAAGTTGGTCGGTGACGGGATCCCCAACACTTCAGTGAACAGGCTTATGCCAAAGCGAGTTGCCAAGGGCATCATGGTCATGGCGACGGTTCTCACCAACCTCTACCGGAGTGAGTTGCAGGCCCTCGTTGCACGGACGGGCCAGTTCAGTGTGTGGGAGGTTGGTTGTAGCACTTCGTCTATGTTGACTACAGCGTGCCTTGCCGAGGGGTTGCAAGCCTTTCGGGTGAACCACGTGAACGGCTTTGACCTTTACAAAGAGGAGACCTACGGCAACCTCAGGCAGCTATTCGAGAGGCACAAGCCCCGCCGCATCTGGTTCTCTCCTCGGAGTGATCGTTGGCAACCGTGGAGCCATCTTAACCATTTGTCGTGGCAGGAGCGCCAGACTTTGGAAAGCCGACGGCGACATGAAAGGACCATGCTGAAGCGCATGGTCGACTTCCTGGCCTGGGCCCTCAACCGAAACTCCTTGCTTGAAATCTTTTGGGAGTGGCCTACAGAGAGCCTGGGATGGAAGGAGCCTTCAACGCAGCTCCTGGAAAAGTCGGTGTGGCTGCGCAACCGCGATTGGCATCAATGTCGAGTTGATGGGCGCCGCTATGGGTTGCGCCTAGATAACACTGGGCCCTTCGTCAAGAAGAGATGGACAATCCGGACTACGTGCCCCAAGTTCCACGCCCTCTTCAAGACGAAGGTCTGTGTACAAGAACACCAGCATGTGCCAGTGCCTGTGATGGAAAATCATGGGCGCATCGACTACCCGTGGCGCTTTGCAAGCTCGGTTGCCAAGGCCTGGAAGGATCACTTGTTGCCGTTGCGCCACTTTGGCGCAAAGTCGATCCTTTACAACTTTGCCAACGAGGAGATTGAGGAGGAGGAGGCCAACCCGGCTGACGACAACCGAGATGAGATCGATGGCCCCACCGAGGAGGAGCGAAAAGCCTGGGAGCGAAAGCTCCGTCGCTTCCACACGGCGGCGGGACACCCGTCCAACAGTCAGTTGGCAAGGATCATCAAGGAGGCCAAGAAGCCGAAATGGATGGTGGATGCAGCCGCAAACTTCAGCTGCCCTCACTGCGAGGCGGCTGTGCCAGGAGGCATGTCATCCAAGCAGGTGCCACCGTTGTCTACCCGGCCTCTTCCTGTTGCGTGGCAACAAGTCGTTTCTGACGTTGGTGAGTGGACCAGCGTGCCCCACAAGTGCAAGCTGAAGTTTGTGGTGTTTGTGGACGCGGCAACCAAGCTGCGTGTTGCTGAGCCTCTTTTCCGTTGTGAAATTTCGGAGATGAAGACCGAGACGGGCTTGCAGCTGGTGGAGGCCTTCTCCAAGAGGTGGCTGAGCGACAAGCCCAAGCCCGAGATCTTCGTTCCCGACAATGCGAGGTCCTACACTTCGAGGCACTTCCAAGACTTCTGCTCCAGTGTCAACATATGGGTTGCGCCACCGGCGGAAGCAGAAGCATGGGCTCATGGCATCGCCGAGTCTGTGGTTCAGGATGTGAAGATGGTGATGGAGCGCATCCAGACCGGAGACGCCAGCCTTCAGCCGGAGACTTGCCTGGCCTTGGCCACGGGTGCCCTGAACCAGACCTCCTTTGTCAAGGGTTACTCGTCTTACCAGTGGGCCTACGGCAAGCAGTTTTCCTACACCGACGAGGATGAGATTACTATGTCCCAGGTGCGAGACGACGCACCCTTTGCGGAGTTCTCCCGACTTCTTTCCCTACGGCACGAGGCGGAGAAACAGGCTCGCGAGGTACGAGCTCAACGAGTTTTGTCCAAACTCAAGAACACCATTCAAAGACAACCACTTCGCGTCTTTCACCCGGTGGACCTGGTGAAGGTGTGGCGAAGGGCTCTACCTCAAGAACTACATCGCGGACGAGCTGGTGGCACGAAGAAAGCCGGACGGCATCACTGGATAGGGCCCGGACGTGTGGTCCTACAGGAGACTGTGACTCATCAGGCCGAGGACGACCCGCGACGACACATCATGTGGGTGGTCATCGGGGGCAAGCTCTATCGATGCTCGGCCCACTCCGTTCGTCCTGTGACGGAACAAGAACGAGCCTGGCATCATCTACATGTGGATGAAGACCCAAGCCGATGGAAGACTCTCCAAGACATCATTCCATCGAAGGAGTACACGGATGTCAGTGGTCAGGAACCACCTGGAGATCTACCTGAGGATGTGGAACCTGATCTACCACCAGGACCTGACGGGGAGACCTGGGTCCCCTCAAAACGGCTGAAGTGGAAGCAGGCTCCACCCAACTTTCCACTTCCGGTTCATGTGCCTCCACCTGTAAATGAATATGGTGTTCCAGAGGACTGCGTGGAGTACGAGCCGAGCCTCGATGAGGAGGAGCCTACAGCAGCCCTCGGGACCGACTTTGGTGACCTCGAGACACATTCGGATGTTGAGTTGGTCACTGGAGGTGAAAAGCGCGAGGCGACATCTACAGACGTGCCCCACTCGGCTAAGAAGCCAAAGACCAACGAGGTGGAGGATGAGTTCACCCTCCACACGGCCTTGCAGGAGGCAGAGCACGCCTATGTGATGGAGCTTGAGTTGAATCTGTCGTCACACCGACAGCTCAAGAAGTTCATCCGGTCACCTTCGGCCTACTTGGTTGGGAAGATGCGTGACTGCGAGGTTCGGTGGGAGAGGCTGTCGCCTCAGCACCGCACCCTCTTTTCCCGAGCGAAGACGAAGGAGGTGACAAGCTTCGTCCAGCAGGCGGCTGTCCGACGATGCTTGGACCAGGCCGAGGACAAGGAGGCTCGCGACAGCGGGCGCATCATGAAGTGTGGATGGGTTTTGACGTGGAAACCCATCCCAGAGGAGGAGCGCGAGGAAGCCTTGACGGACGCCCGCAACAACCCGAGCACTACGGTGGATCCACAGGCCATGAAGAAAGCAAAGGCCCGCATCGTTCTTCTGGGATATCAGCACCCAGACCTCCTTCGTGAAGTTCAACTCCAGCGCCCCCGTTCAGTCGGTGCTCACCCGTAACCTCGCCCACATGATGACGGTCACCAACGGATGGCAGCTGGAAGGACTTGACCTTTCTACAGCGTTCCTACAAACAGCTCCCAAGGAGGAGATGCGGATTTGGACACCAGGCGTGTCCGAATTGCGAGAAGCCCTGGGCATCGGCGACGACCAGCTGATGCGAGTGCTCAAGGACTTCTATGGCTCGACGACGGCCCCACGTGGACTATGGCAGGACCTACATGCCAAGTTCACCGGTCTTGGTGCTACTAAGATCATGTCTGACCCCTGCATGTGGATCTGGTCCGAACCGGTGGCCAATCCAAGGAACAGCATGGATCGTTACAAGACGATCGGCATGATGGGTGGCCACGTGGACGACTTCAACCGTGCCGGCGACCTTCAGAACCCCAAGTGGCTCGCCATACGAGCCGAGATCGACAAGGCCTATAAGTGGGGAACCATCAAGAAGGACAACTACAGGCATGCCGGCACAGACGTGATTTCTCGACGGACTGCGGATGGTGGTCACTCCATTGAAGTGAACCAGGATCAGTACATCGAGGGAATCTCCGACTTCCACCTTGCGGCGCAGTCTGGACGTGACCTGGACAGCCCACTCGACGACCGCGAGGTGTCCGCAGCCAGGTGCAACCTCATCCTGTCGGATCTATCGCACTCTCCGAAGTTCAGCCTGGCCAGAGAGATTCAAGGTCTGATCGGGGAGCTGAGGTCAAGCCCGATGAGGCTGACCTTTCGGCCCCTACCTGGAGTCAAGCATTGGCAAGATGTTCATGTGATCACGCTGGGTGATCAGGCGCACGCCAACCGACCCAAGGGTGGTTCCACTGGCGGCATCCTCACTTTCCTTGGAGGGCCAGCTCATGCTCAAGGGGAGCCTTCTTTCTCAGCTGGTTCTACTGGGCTGGAAGACCTGGAAGCTACAGCGCGTAGCGATAGGGTCTACAGACGCCGAGGTGCAAGCAATGGTTGAAGCCGAGGACATTAACTTCAAGACACGTTTGACGTGGGCAGAGCTGAACAGTGCGACTGTCGACAAGGGCTTCAACTTCTTACGAGCAGTCGAGCGTGCAGCATCGGCTGTGCCAGGCATCTTGGGAACGGATTCCAAGGGTGGCTACGACGCTGTCATGAGACATGAAGGGCCAGATCTTGGCCTGTCGAATGCAAGAGCTGCCATCCAAGGTCATCAGCTCAAGGAGGGGATGAGACGTGTCAAGACCCGTCTCATTTGGCTTGCCAGTGATTTCAATTTGTCGGATGCCTTGACTAAGCGATCATCAGAGTGCCGCAAGAGTTTTGTACAGTTTCTTCGTAACGGCATATGGATGCTTAGGTTCAATCCCGACTTCGTTGTTTCAGCTAAGAAAGCTAAACAGCAGGGCCTTGATGCTGTAAGTCAGTTACGACGGGCAACACAGGGATCAAGAGTCAAGAAAGTTTTTGGACTGGTGCAACAGAGCTGTTGTGTGCGTTCTTTAGGCAACATGTGACTGCTGACGGTTGACTCTTGATCGCCATGTTTGCTTGCAGCAAGGGGCCCCTTACTTGAGGTTCGTGCGACGCCATAGGCTTCACGAGAAAAGGTTCGCCGAAGAGCCTTTGTGACTTCAGCTCCAGGGAGCTTTTGCTGTTCGAGCCCAATCGTTCTGCATTTCTGGTTTCAGGATTCTGTTCTTCAGACAAGCCAGTGCAGTGAGCGCCCTCCGCTACTGCAAATACCTTATAGAAGGATGCGTGTGTACCCTATAGACTATCTTTCAGCATGCCCTATAGGCCACCATCTGGAACACCCTGTAGTAGA